AAGCGGTGGCTACAGAAGTGAACAATTATGACACACACGCGGATGACCACTAGGAACTATAAATACCGTGCAGCCTTTGCATTTATCCACCTCCTCTGCGCATGACCATGCTTATGTTGTCATCACCTATGATTAAGGATTCCCGAGGGAATCCATAACGTCAGGCAAATGAAACTCTAGTTCCAGTGATCGTATCTTCTCCCCCTGAACTTATAACCGTCTCTTGCAAGGCATAGACATAGCAAGTAAATAAGACAAAGACGATATCGAAGAATACAATAAAGTTTTTTTTCATAGAAACGGGGACTACGCAAGAATTAAATGCGTTACATCAGAACAGACAGTCCGAGTAAAGTACAGACAAGTAGATAGAAGTTGCAGTTCCAAGCCAAAATATTGGCACCGGAACTTTTTGCATTGGCAGGGGTGCCATTGTGATTACTGGGAGTGGATGCACCTAAAAAATGACGATAATTAATACAAAGCGCAAACATAGAAACTAGCAGTAAGAAAGAGGATTTTCTACTATTGAATATAATAATAAAAACGATAAGCCTAACCATTTGTAGCCGTCTCAGTTGACTCCGCGGTCTCGCTAGCCCCAGATGACTTTCCTTCAGACAAACAATTATGATCCTTTTAGGCAACTGTTATTTCCGGCTGAACAAGTTTACGATTCTCCACATCCCGCCTACAATGAAACTCCCGTCCGACCTACAAAATCATTGTTTACACTCTTTCGATGGCTGTCCCCCTTATTCCCTGAAAGCTGGCCGCTCTCCCACTCTCAAATGCACATGACTGAATACTATTTTCTCCCGGTCTCGACGCCTTCTTTCGATGTTCTCATTTCACATGGCGACCAACGTGAAGGGACTTCTATTGCTTGATAGTTCCGCACCAAACTGATAGTTCACATCACTGCTTTTTGGCGAAGGCGTGACTACCGAAGAGATTGCGAGAAGCCAAGGGACCAAACAGCCACAAACAACACGACAATTTTGTTGAGCAGATGCCAAGATCTTAGAGAAAAAGCTTTACCTTATCTTCAAACAAAGTTTTCCGACGCAGAGTGGCTAGGCGAACGAGGAATTAATGCCTCCACAAATAAATTTGTCAACATCATTTACGACAGAGTTAGCCATCTTCTTCCAAATGAGGAAGAACTGTACAAATCATACGATACGACGGTAGACCCTTAAGAGTTTGTTAATGTTGCAGTGGACTTCCTTAATAGTTTGGATATATCTGACGTTACAACACACAAACTGATTCTGAAGGTTGACGCACCAATTATGTTGATGCGAAATCTCAATGCACCACGGCTATGCAATGGCATTAGGCTAACTGTCAAGCAGCTGAGGTCATACCTGATAGATGCCACAATTATGACCGGTTGTGAAAAGGGGGAAACTGCTTATATCCCCCGCATTCCTATCGTACCATCTGATACAACGTTCAATTTACGACGACTTCAATTTCCCGTGAAGGTTTGCTTTGTTACGTCCATCAAGAAGTCCCAAGGTCAAACCTTCAAGGTGGCTGGAATTCACCTGGAAGCATCGTGTTCTCCCCACAGATTACTCTCTGTTGCGATATCTCGAGTTGATTCGAAAAGTTATTTGTACGTCTTGGCACGTAACGGGATTACGAGAAATGTTGTTAATCCAGAAGCGTTAGTGTGACGACTGTACATCCCATTACATTAAGGTACCTATTAATACCCATGTGTGAAAATATCTCATGTATTCCTAAATTCGCTCAAAAATCTGCTCCATTGGTACCTAACGTACAATTTTCCCCGCAAACCCACTTAAATTTATTATTTTAATGTGTGTAACGTTTCGTTCTGGTGATTAAAAACTCCACTCCATATGGAACCTCACTTACATTTTTCCCCTAATCACGTAGTGTTCTTTATTATTGAATGTTTTAAAATAAATTTATTTAGTCTCCCAACCTGCTGCTCTACTCTTGCCTAATCTTACCCTTTTCCCCGAAAACATACTTCTGCACTCTTATTTTAATAACTGTTGAGTTTTATTTTAGTGGTTAAAAACGCCACTCTATATGGTGCCACACTTACAGTTTTCCACCTAAACTTACGGTTCTTTACCATTTCTTACTAATCATTCGTCCCACTGAACAACGCTCTCCCTCGTTCAATGGATCATCACTACTTCACCAAGCATGGCTTAGTAATTGTAAATATCATAACTTTAATGAAAAACCGATATCTGCATTCAGTTGATTGCGCAGCCATCGGACTTGCTCATTTAAACAATTTTTGTTAGTTCTTGTACGATTTTTTTTTCGCAATTTTTTCTCCAAAATTACTCCTTCTGAGCATACATATATTATACATCAAGTCAAAGCGAACTCAGGTATGCCGAGCTATTCACCCTATACATAATACTTCTCAGGGTTTCTCATATGCTGCACATATAACGTTTGCCTACATAAGGAACAACAATGGACAAGGAAACCTTAAGGCGAAGCTAGTCTGCAATAGGATCAGATGGGCATTTAAGCTTACCGGTTTTTGTCGCCATTGTCGTGGACTTAGTCGTTTTGGTAGGAGCGGTGGTTGTAACTTCTGAAAAATAAGCACAAACACAATCCTGTTAAATGCAGCCCCCCATGAATTATGCTATCTACATGGGAAACACGGAGGCCCTAGGTTTCCTAGTGTACCTAGATGAGATATAATTCACTAACTACTGTATGCATTTTGGTAAGCGTAGTAACGTTTGATTATGTTGTTGCAATCGCCTTTCACCATATTTGGAATCATCTCACTGTATCACATTTCTGACGGCTGGTTAACTTTGCCCTGCCGTCTTAGGGATTAGTTAAGCCAAAGTCTATTGTGCCCGCACTCCCGGCCCCCACAGAGTTATACATTATGACCCGCTTATACTGTCCTTTCACAGGAAGTATAAGATGTGTACATATGGTGTTAATCGCTTCGGATAGTAGGATTTGCAATCTTGCAGCATCATATCATTTTTGTCAAAAATAGGTGGGCTATGGGCAGACACCAATGACAAATTACCAGTAGAAGGCATCTGCACTGAGGTTGATGCGCCCTTGGAAACAACTGTGCCATTGGCCCAAACAGCTTGTACGGTGATGCTGTTCATCTTGTAAAGATCCAAGTCGCCCACGATGATTGATGTGCTAGTGGTTGTAATTTCCCGATCATAACCTTGAATGGAGATGGTAACGTCGTACTCGTCTTTGAAGACATTCTCAGGAAGTGGTTTGGTCCAGCTCACACGGATGGCGGTGTCGTTTACAGGCGATGCCTTCAAATCTCCTACAGTTGGCACTATAGCAGACAAAATAGGAAAGTTTCGTGGTTAATGCAATTCAAACTGCCAAATTAGGTTAAATGAGGTGGTTCCTGTCGGATGTTAAGAAGTAAGAGCATCTCATTTGCAATAGGATAAGATGGGCATTTCAGCTTAGTGGTTGGTGTCGCCTCCGTCGTGGACTCAGTAGTTTCGGTAGTAGCGGTGGTTGAAGCTTCAGAAAAATAAGCGCAAACACAACCTTCTGTAATGCTGCCGTCCACGAATTATGTTATCTACATGGGAAACACGAAGATCCTCGTAGAGTAAATATAGGTTTCCTAGTGTACCTAGATGAAATGTACTTTACTCACTACTGTATGCATTTTGGTAAGCGTAATAACGCCTATTGATGTTGTTGCAATCACATTTCGCCATACTTGGAATTATTTCACTGCATTAAATTTCTGACGGTTGGTTAACTTTGCCCTGCCGTCTTAGGGATTAGTTAAGCCAAAGTATATTGTGCCCGCACTCCCGGCCCCCACGGCGTAATACTTTATGACCCGGTATATACTGTTCTTTCACAGGAAGCTTGAGATCTGTACAGATGGTGTTAGTCGCTTTGGGTAGTAGGATTTGCAATCTTCCAGTGTCATATCATATTTGTCAAAAATGGGTGGGCTACGCGCAGACACCAATGACAAATTACCAGTAGAAGGCATCTGCACGGAGGTTGATGCGCCCTTGGAAACAACTGTGCCATTGGTCCAAACAGCTTGTACGGTGATCTTGTTCAACTTGAAAAGGTTCAAGTCGCCTACGATGATTGATGTGCTATTGGTTGTAATTTCCCGCCCATATCCTGGAATGGAGATGGTAACGTAGTACTCGTCTTTAAAGTCATTCTCAGGACGTGGCTTGGTCCAGCTCACACGGATGGCGGTGTCGTTTAAAGGCGATGCCTTCAAATCTCCTACAGTTTGCACTGCAGCAGACAGGATAGGAAAGTTTCATAGTTAATGCAATTCAAACTGCCAAAGATATAATACAAGTGTATTTAAAGTAGTA